ATCAGGGTCCCCTCACCCAGTCCAGGTTCTAGGGCAGCCCCTGACCCTGGGCACCAGGAATGAGAGTTGAGAGTGCCCATCCCCTATTTCCCCTGCAAGGCCAGGCCCACAGGCCCACGCATCTCCACCCCCATGGGTCTTTCCTCCACTTGCTGTGGTGGGCAGCCTCCTTGTTCTGCACTCACAACTAAGATACACAGGTGGGCTCCCCTAAGAGGCCCCAAGTCTGCTTAAGCCATGGCTGGACTTCTATCTGTCCTGGATTGGACTTTTTAGATCTGCTCCAAATCTGCTCACGTGTCCGGGACAGAAGTTTCAACAGAGCCAGCTTGGAGGCCAGGATGGGAAACTCTGAATAACCCACCACAGAAGGGCGAGGTGTGACCAGGAGAGGTGGTAAAGATGGCTGGGCATCTGGGGTGCGGGCCCTTTTGCGAGGCAGATCCCCACCCATTGCAGGCCCTGCAATGCTTATTTTTAGTTTTATACTTTTGGTGAGAAACAGGCCTGTTTGATTTCTTGGAATGTTTCTGCAGAAGGTCCCAGGGTCCTCAGCAACTAGATAATCTCGCCTTTGCTGGAGCTGCACCCACACAGCTGAGAGTCTATCTTGGGGGGTTGGAACCAAAGGAATTTCAGAGGGAGCCCAGACCCTGGGGTGGCAGGAGCAGGAGGCTCCTCTCTGGCCCTGTACCCAGCTCAGCACCATGTGCCTCACTTCACCGTGGAGGGGTGAGGCAGAGGGGGGATGGTGCCAACCCTGGAGTGGGAGGCCAGAGTAGATTTACTGAGGAAACCACCCATGTGGGAGAAGGAGAGTCCCCCGGGGCCACCCCTCCCACTCTGGAGGCTCCAGGTGGCCCCATCCCTGCCTGCCTGCAGGGAGGCAGGGAGCTGGCAGTGGCTGGGGCAGATGTGAGGTCCCAGGGAAGGAGCAGGAGCCCTGGGGGCTGCTTCCAGGAAGGGAGGCACCCAGAGGACTTGCCCGGATTGGGGGAGCTGGTTTCCATGGGGCCGGTCATGGCCCAGTCCCTCCCTGCCTCTGTCACTGGGTGTGGGTGGAGCAGAGGATCGGGACGGGGTGGGGGTGGGGGGGACATGAGATGAGAGACACGGTCTGTCTCAGCTAAGCCCTCCATGCTACACATGAAGAACCCAGGGCTCAGGTGGGCAGATGGCCTATGCGAGGACATGCACCTGCAAGGCTCCCAGCCTGATGCTGCTCCTAGGACCATGGGTCTGAAGACCCCCAAGGTCATTCTGGGGCAGCTGATTGAGGCCTAGAAGATGCCAAGGAGAGCTGGTGCCAACGGGAGCTCTAGAAGACCTGTCCCCCACTCTGTACACTATCCTCATTGGCATCACCCACCCAGCCAGGACCTGTGTCTTGGTTTCATGAGTACAGGATGGGACAGGTCAGGAAGAGAGGCTTGAGGACCAGAGCAGGAGATATGTCTCTTGTGTCTGCTCTAGTAAGTGAACTGTATGGAGGCCACATTAACCGACACAAGTGCCCAGAACATGGCAAGTGATTGTCCGTCAGCAGGTCTATGTATCAGAAAGAAGAGTGACAAACGGAGGCAAATGCAGAAGACGGACTTCAAACTTCAAAGGCTAAAGACATGGGTGTTTGTCTTGGACTTGGAGGCTGGGAGAGCATTCCCCTATCTGTGCATCCTTCCAGCCACACTGGCCCTCTGCAAGCCCCCACGGCCACTCCGTCCTACCTCAGGGGCTCGGCTTACTACTCTCCACCTGCAATGCCCTTTCCGCCTGGCCATCTTTCGGGCCTCAGCTTGAACGTGGCCCCCTGGAGGGCCCTGCCCAGCCACCCTGTCTGAGCTAACTGCTGTGCCCTGACTTGTCTCTCAGTTCCCTGGGCACAGGCTTACTTCCCGGCCTCCTGGCTGTGTGAGGGCTCCATGCACACTGTGGGGATACAGGCTGGTCCATAATTGCACCCCAGTACCTAGCATGGGGCTCATGGATGTTCACTGAATGAACACACAGACCGGGAGCCACTCAATCAGGGAAGGAAGGAATCTGAAGAGAAAGGAGGGGCAGACCAAGGTTCCAAAGGCTGGCTTGGTATGGAGGGCACTGTCAGCGAAGGAGGCCTCTCTGGGGAGACGCGGCGATGCTGGACTTCAAGACGGGCATGGGGAAGAGCATCGTCCGAGGCCATTTTGTACCCACAGACATTTTGCACCCCTGCTCGTGCTCCCACCCCAGTGCTCTCTCGCGTCCATCCAGATGTGGTCGCCTTTTGTCTCTGGCTGCGGTGGAGGGCCCCGGCCCGGCCGGCTGCTGTGAGGACAGACATCCTCCCTCGGAGTCGGTGAGGAAGAGCTCAGCCTGGATGCCGCCGAGCCCGGAACTTGGCGCCGCACCATGGTGGTTTGCATACAGTTCCCCTGAACTCCTGCACAGCAGCGCCTCCCAACTTTGTTAATGGAAACCCGGTGATCCGTAACTGTGTGGCAGACATCTGCTCGGGGGTAATGTGGTGGTAATGTACATATCGGTGATCAATCAGCGGATTTGCAAGAGAGGCATAAAGTATTTAATTATACGTGCACCCGGCGAGTCTGTGTGGTGGCGGTATTTGAATAGGTCAGAGCCGGCCCTCACCCCTGCGATGTTGTTTGGTATTAAATGCCACTCACTTGAAAGACTGGAAGACCTGCCGGAGTCGCGGGATATCACACACTGGCAAATTGAAAATGTCCCTTCGCTTTTAAAAACATGATTGATATCCTTTGCAAAACAAATGTTCTACCTCATAGTGCACAGACCTTGCCTGCCTGGCGCCTCCCCTTTGCTCGCTGGCAGCCAGTGAGCACCTGCCCCGGCCCGTGTGCAATGGGAGGACCTGCTAACAACATGTCAGGTCACCAGGCCTCCTCTCCCCCTCCAAGGCCGGGGCTTCCAAAATTGTTCTATTTAGGACAGAGGAATCTTCCGTCCCACTGGCTTTGCTCACCAGAACAAAACATAGGGACACGGCTAAAACCCGAAAGATAAAATGCAAATTTTATTTGCTTGACCGGTAGCAGAAAAATATATCTTCAGATACTTTGTGTACCATCTACTTATGTATAATAAGTACCACCTGCATTGCACCACCTATGTCATATCTACTATCATTTAAAACAATGCTTTTAGGACAACTGGCAAAGGGATATAAATAATAGGAACGCAGACAAACATCACACCTATGATACACATACACACATCTGTGTACAGGACCACTCTGAGCCTGCATGAGCCACAGCCTGGAGGAAGTGTGAGCAGCCCAGCCCCAAAGCCACATGCTTGGGTCTGGGGCCTGGGTTCACCTGCATGCGGGCCCCCCATCTATAAAATGGGAATGAGAAATCATGCAACCAGCCATCAGGGCTGGTGTGCCAGCCGTGGAGACAACCCCTGTCCCGGGCTCAGCACCAGGTCTAGTGGGCAGCGAGGGCCCACAAATGTTGAATGCTTTCCCAGCAAAGAGTTCTGGTAGCTGGCATTTTCAAAGGAGACATGTCCTCTATTGCAGGCTTAGTCCTGCTTTCAGGAGGGCTGCTTGAGGGAGACAGGGCTCCCCTCCTTCCATGAGGCCAACAGGCTGCCCCGCTGGCGGGACCTGGATGGACCAAGAGAGTGCTGACAGACAGGCAGTGGGCACATCACCACCAGGGCTCATCTCTGGACTCGGGGACCAGGCACTTCACAACATTTGTGACAGCCTTCTCCCCTTTCTCAAAACAGTCACATCAACCCGAGGTGGATGAGTAACAGTGCTGTAGTTTGATGAAATATCAGGGTGTCTGAATCAGAAGCAAGCCAGTCTAAGTGGGTCTCTGAGATGGCTCTTTCTGTCCTGGTCTCCTGCCTGCCTTTACCGGCCCAGGGTTTTTCAGAGTCCGATAAAGCACAACCATGTAATTCTCAGTCGAGACAGTCAGCCTCCTTGGGTGTGTTTTTGTTGTTTACACAATTAGCCAATCATTGTCACCTAGTGGATCAGATTAGGTGTAATCCATACTAATGTTCAAATTAAGTCATGGAAAGCAATTAACTCTGCAAAAATGGGCTGGTGAAAAATGATAAGGTTGGTCAAATAGTTTCACTGTGCATAATTGTGTTTTTTAAAACACCCGTCTCCACACAGTAATTAAATCATTTACATTTCAAATGGAGTGAACCCACCTCCAATGCTTGTAATTGTGCACTCCCTAATCGTACACCTCACAGCGTAGCAGGGATCTATCAACTGCCTGCTATGGAGTGTCTGCTTCCTCAGGAAACCAGCTGGGTGGAACGTGCCCAAATAGAAGCTTACTGCCTGCTCAGAAGAAGCAAGAAAAGTGTGCTTTGCCCCATGTTGGCCCAAATTTGAATCCCACCCCCCCCTTGCTCTTCCCTTCTTTCTGCCTTCTCTACTGGATAGAAGAGCGCACGAGATTTCTTATGCAATTACGAACTATTCTGTCCACAGCATGAGATGCACTTACACTTCTGATCACATCATCTGCACCAGGGCCATGGTCAAAAACCTTGGGGCGACATTCATGGGATCAACTAGTATCTGACTTCACTGTTTGCATTTTATTAGCATCACTTTCAGCTCCAGGGAAGAAGCCCACCCGCCCGGCTAACTGTATGCCCAGCGCGTGGGCACCTTCCAGGCTGTGGCTGTCTAAGCAGCAAATCCTCAGATGGAGGTGGCCCTGAACCTGTGTTCCTACTCCTCAGAGTAGGACTCTTCAGGAGCTCTGGAGCAAACGCTTCAGGTGAGCAGGACCCCGTGAGTCTTCTTGCAAGGGAACTTTTCTGAAGGAGGAAGCCAGAAGACTGGAGTTCCTGTCTCTCCGGCCCCCCCCCCGGGGGGGGGTCTTCAGCTTGGAGCAAGAGGCTGTGGAAGTTAGTCTGTGGCAAAACCTTGCCTCTGGCTGGAAGTGGGGCTGAAATCACCCGGGAAGACCCGGGGCTGCCCGGGTGCCAGCCCCGTCTCATATTGTCCAAACGTGGAGGTTCATTTGCTGGGCCTCCAGCCGGGGGTTCCTGCCTTCCTGCAGGCCCAGGGGACACTTGAGCCCAGGAAACGGGTCTGGGGAGGACAGGATGTAGTCAATGCTGAACTTGATGCCCCTGTGCTCCTCCTTCCCCGGAGCGGCTGGGCTGGCGGGGGCCAGGGGCTGGTGGGGGCGGGGGGCTGGCTCCTGCGACCCCGGAGGCCCCTCGGTGTCCCCCGCGCGCGCCTCCCCGGCCCCTTCCCGCTTGGGGCCCCTGCGCCGCCTGCGCCGCCGGTAGTTGCCGTTCTCGAAGAGGTCCAGCAGCGACTCGCAGCCGCCTGCGAACGTCCAGTAGTTGCCCTTGCCTTTCTCGTGGCCCTCAGTCCGAGGCACCTGTGCGCAGGGAGGGGCTCCGCGAGGGGCTGGCTTTCTGGGCGCTCCCGCCCACCCCTCCCGGTCTGCACGCTCACCGAGGGCTCCGGGGCAGGCCCTGGATAGGTCCCTGTCCTTGCGGTGGGTGGCGTTGCTCAGGGAGCAAACTGGAGGCACCCCATTTGCTAAAAATGAACTTTCCAACAGCTGCTGCTGCAAGATCTGGCCCCGCCCCCTATCGGGGCTGATTTGGCCCAGGAGCCCCCAAGCTTGGGACAGTCCGGGGCCCTTCGGGGAGCGCGACGGCAGTGGGGAGCTCACCTTGACGAAGCAGCTATTGAGGGACAGGTTGTGGCGGATGGAGTTTTGCCACGCGCGCTGGTTGGCTCGGTAGTAGGGGAACTTGCGCATGATGAAGTCGTAGATGCCGGACAGCGTCACCCTGCCCGAGGGGCTCTGCTGAATGGCCATGGCGATCAGCGCGATGTAGCTGCAAATAGGGGCGCGTCGGGCCACGCGGGGCGGTGCAGGGGACCACTCACGACTTGGGGGTCTGGAGTCCCCTCCGGGCAGCCCTTCCCTGCCCAGAGGCCGGCCCCTCCAGAAGCGCGCTCCCTCGCCCCCAGGGCTCCGGGGGGTGTGGGAGGTGCAACCCGGAGGTCCCCGCTCCCCGCTCCCCGCTTCTGCCCAGACCCAAGGAGCACATCTTCACACTTGGGAGTCTCCTCAAGGGGGTGGAGAGACCTGCGGAGAAAGGAGGAACGGGTCCCTTCCCAGGGTACCCACCGCCCCTCCCTCCGGAGAAGAAAGCCCACCCTCCTCCGGGAGGGTCCTGGAGCAGGATCCTCGCAGGCCCCCAGGCTCCTACCACCGACCCCGCGGGCACCTGTACGCGGGCCGGGTGAGCCGCTTCTCCTCCTCGGAGCTGCCGGCTGGGTAGTCGTCGGCGTCGTAGTTGAAGCAATTGTAGGGATACTGCGAGCTGTCAAACATCTTGGCGCTCCTGGTGCCTGCGGGGGGCCTCCGCGTCGCTGCCACCTCCTCCACGCCGCCCGCCAGCCCGCCAGGTCTGTGCTGAAGTCCTCCCAGGCTCCGGCCAGCAGCGTCTGCACTGCGGGCTGCTCTACGCCCGAGCTGGGAGCCTGGGTTTCTGGGGTCCCCCGCCCGCGCCCACCCAGTTGTCTCGCATCCAATCCCAGCGCGGGGGAGGCCCCAGCCACCGGTAAAGCGGCCGAGGGAAGCAAGCGGGGCTCTCAGTGACCCGCTGACCGGCGGCGGACCGAGGAGGAGGGCCCCGCGCGCTGGGTGGTCCGACGGGCTGGGCGCCACCCCGCCTCCCGCTCCCGCCCCGTGCGCGCCGCCGCGCTCTCTGCTCCCTGCGCGGGCCCCAGATTTCCAGGCAGAGTTGCTGGATATCCCTCTCACCACCCCCCCCTCCACCCGCAAGCCAGAGCTAGGGCTCCTCGGGGGCTCCCTGCACTGGCGGATGTCTCCTCAGAGCTCACCGGTCTGTGCGCCCTCAGTGCCAGGGAGTCACTAGGTTTTTCCGGGGCATGGGATCCCAGAGTGGACTCTTGGGTTGCCAGAACAGAATCATGAGCCAGGCCACAGACAGGGCCAGGGCTGTCACCTCCTCCACCATCAGGCTGGGCCCCACCTCCTGCCCCTGAGCGGCAGGATCCGGGCAGGGTAGTCTGGGCCCAGCTGGCCTGTCCCTGCCTGGAGCACCGGATCAGAGCCGAGTCAGAGACAAAGCGGCCAGCATTTTCTCCAAGGCCCTGCATCCCAGAGGCACTGTCTCTTGTTGCCCAGAAGGGTGTCTCTTCCAGGGGTCCCAGCAAGGGGCTCAGGAGCCTGCTCTGTAAGGAAGCCCCTGAGTGCCTGGAGCACAGAGCTTTCGGTCCTGGGGACAGGCTCAAGAGCTGAGCCACACTTTCCTGGTCCCTTCTAGCTCCAAGGCTGTGATTCCTTGTATGGATAGATGCATGCAGGAGAGAAGATAAGGAATGGGAATTTTAGGAAAAAGAATGAGGTGGGATCTTGCCAGGCGTGGGGTGGTAGTGGTGAGGGGGGAGATTGTTTCACAGTGGATGTGCCACCAAAGGCATTTCCATGAACAATTCCACAGAATTGTTTTTATTTTTTTAAAGATTTTATTTATTTATTTGAGAGAGAGATAGTGAGAGAGAGAGAGAGAGAGCAGAAGCAGGGAGGAGAGGGAGAAACAGCCTCCCCACTGAGCAGGGAGCCTGATGCAGGACTTGATCCCATGACACCAGGATCATGACATAAGCCAAAGGCAGACGCTTCATTGACTGAGCCACCTGGGTGCCCCAACTCTGCAGAATTCTGAACTGACCCATATGTGTGAATCTGCCTAAGGCCAGGAAGCCTGGATAGTCTTTCTCCAGAAAATTCTCCCTTCAAAGCAGGACCCTTCGCTCAGAAATGACCTGTGTTCAGTCCAGCCAGTTGGCTGCATGAGGGCTTGATGCTGCACACAGCCCATGGTGAAGAAGGGGGCAGCACCCCTGCCAGCTCCCCGGGGGAGGCTGTGCAGTCGCCCCTTCTGCAGGGGTGCCATGACTGGCTTCTGTGGAGGGTCGGAAGCACAGTGGGGCTCAGAGACATTCACTGACTCTGTGCTGTCCTCTGTCAGATGTCAGTTATGCTCGCTGGACTGTGGGAACATAAGTAGTACAGTCCCTCTTGAAAACATTTTGGCACTTTCTTTAAAAACTAAACATGTGACCACAGTGTTAACCAGAAACCACACTCTGGGGCATTTATCCCCGAGAATTGGAAAGGTAAATTCATGCAAACACCTGTGCTCACATTCCCAAACTGAAACTCGCCTAAATGTCCTTACACGGGGAGACGGTTATATAGGCGTTGGTCCCCTCTACACCATGGGACACCTCAGCTATGCGAGGTGAATAACCACTAGTCCAGCAGCAGCCTTGATGGATCCCCAACTATGTAAGCACAGAAGCCAGCCTCAAAGGGTTACATAGAACACACTGCCATTTATAGGACACCCTTGAAAAGACAAAATGATAACATGAGGAACAGATTAGTGGTTTCCAGGGGTTAAGAGGAGGTGTGGGTAGGAGGGAAGTGGAGGCCACGTCATGGGACCATGCACAAGGGCCCTTGTGGCCTTGCCTTGCTCTGCATGTCCTGACTGTCAGTGTCAAGGTCTTGGTCGTGAGATTCTGTGTTAGAGTTTTGCAAGATGTCACTATAGGGGGAAGCTGGGTAGAGGGTATGTAGGATCTCTGTTTTTTTTTTTCTTTTTTCTTTTTTTTTTAAAGATTTTATTTATTTACTCATGAGAGACACAGAGAGAGAGAGAATGAGAGGCAGAGACACAGGCAGAGGGAGAAGCAGGCTCCATTCAGGGACCCCGATGTGGGACTCGATCCCAGGACTCCAGGATCATGCCCTGGGCCGAAGGCAGGCGCTAAACCGCTGAGCCACCCAGGGATCCCCCCCTCTGTTTTATTTCTTACAACTGCGTGGAATCTGCAAGTATCTCAAAATAAAAAAGTTTAATTAAACTATCCTGCAGCGGGCTTGGAGACCTAGAGATGCCAAGCTGCGGGAGGGAGATTTGAGACAGAGCAGTATGTGCCCAAGAGAGAATCCCATCAGCCCCACTCAGTGGGGGTTTTCTCTGCCTGATGTCCATGTCCTTGCGTGCTCCCCCGCCAGCCCCTCCCCTCCACGTCAAGCCTCTCGCTGTCTTCGCTTCTTGGGAGAGCCTAGGTTCTGAGGCGTGTCCTCCCACTGGTCAGGCAAAAGCGTGGGAGGAGATGTGGTGGCGACTGGCAGGGCTCCAGGCCAGCCTCTGTCCCGGTCAGTGAGGTCAGCCAGCACCAGGGGACCCCGTGCTCTGGGGATCTTGAAGCCTCTGTCACACAGATGGTGGAAAAGCAGGAAACAACATAGCTACTTCACTTCAGCCCTCCACAGCTTTGGGGGACTGGCTCCGGGGGCCACCCCAAACCTGAGCCTCCAGAGCAGGGGAACCCTGAGCTGGAGTAGCCCGGAGACTTACCGCTCAGGGAGCCATCACCCCGAGGCTGGGTTATGCTGGCGCCACAGCAGTTCACACATCCGTGTGTGCCGCCCCATCCCCTGGAAATGGTCCCTTCCCTTGGAAAAGCCACATCCCAGCCCTTGGATAAACAGATGACAGTGATCCCCGGCCCTGCATCCCACAGCTGGTGAAGATCAGAGCCCAAGTTTGAAACCACTTCTAACGTAAGAGCTCTCATCACCAAAGCCATGCCCTCTCTCGATGTGTCACTTGCAGGGGCTGTTGGAAAACACTCACTGTCATAACAGCATGACATGGAGGCAACCTTCTCTCCCAGCTGCCATCTGGGCTCCTTTCCTTGGGATGGGAATTTGGCCCAAACCCCGTGATGCGCCCTGTAACACCCCTGGTGGAATCCTGCTTCTTGTATGGAATCAGTAGACGCAGTCCACGAGATGGCTGGTTCTGCTGGAGTCTGTGTTTGCAGGGGCAAACCAGATCACCCTTCCGAATCTGTGGGTTTGAGACCTTATCTGGGGGCCTGGTCCACATCTGCTTCTGGCTGATCCCGGGGAGCTCCTTTTGTACCTGGACCCCAGCACGCGGGAGGCTTCCCGGGCACCTGCTAGCTGCTCTGAAACTCACCAAGGGGATGAACTGCCCCCTTGAGCTAGACAAGAGACAGAAGCCGGCACCCAGGACAGCCAGGTCCTCAGAGCAACGAGCTGAACCTACCTTCAGTCTGGTGCTGCCCACAAAAAACTAAATCAAACATAGCCACCTACTTTGTTTGGGCCCAGACACACACAGAAATTCCCAGCAGTCACAAGGAACATTTTCTGAGCAATTATTGTGTGCCAGGACTGCTCTGAGTTCCTTCTATATGAACTCTGTCCATCAACAGCTCCAGGGGAGCTGGTATATGGCAGAGTCAGGGTATCATGCCTCTCATGTCTCTTAAAAAAGGACGTGGAAGGAGGCACCCTAAATCAACAACAGGGGTACCTGGGTGGCACAGTGGTTGAGCGTCTGCCTTCGTCTCAGGGCATGATCCCGGGGTCCTGGGATCGAGTCTCACATCGAGCTCCCTACATGGAGCCTGCTTCTCCCTCTGCCTGGGTCTGCCTCTCTCTGCGTGTCTCTCATGAATAAGTAAATAAAATCTTTAATCAATCAATCAATCAATCCATCCATCCATCAACAATAGTGGTGACCTTTGGGGAGAGAACCAGCCACAGACTTTGTTTTTGTTTTTTTTAAAAGATTTTATTTAGTAATTCTGGAGGACAGGGGGTGGTGTAAGGGGAGGGGCAGAGGGAGAAGCAGACTGCACTGAGCGAGGAGCTGGATGCAGGGCTCGATCAAGACCTGAGATCACCACCTAAGTAGAAACCATGAGTCAGATGCTTAACTGACTGAGCCACCACGCATCTCGAATGTTAATTTTTAAAAAAGATTGTATTTATTTATTCATGAGAATATACAGAGAGGAGAGAGAGAGAGGCAGAGACACAGGCAGAGGGAGAAGCAGGCTCCATGCAGGGAACCCGATGTGGGACTCGATCCTGGGTCTCCAGGATCATGGTCTGGGCCGAAGGCAGTGCTAAACCGCTGAGCCACCCAGGCTGCCAAATGTAAATTTTTATAAGGACAGTGTATTGCTAGCGTAACAAATGTATATAATCACCATTTTGTTGTGATGTAGCCAATTGTCACAAACTTAGTGGCTTCACCCACCATCCACCTGTCAGCTCGCAGCTCTGTGTCAAGATGAGTGCACCGAGATGAGCATGAGCACAGCGAGATGAGCAACATAAGCAGCCCCGTGGCAAGAGACCAAAGTGTCCCGTCATGGCTATTCCTGGTGGTCAGAGAACCCAGGTTTCAGGGCAACAAGTTACACCCCAGGTGGGTCTGAGGTCTGAGCACCTGCTGACCTGCGACAGGTGTG